CAACTGTGACTTCAGAACTGCGATTGGTATGATACCGACGACAACGCACAAATGTTGGTGAATTATTCTCTGGTACGGACTACCGTCGAACTTGGTGTCATGTAATGAAAGTCGAGTGAAAGACAAACTCCCGGAGTGGCTGTATTATAGACCGGGCGCAAGAGTCCAGCTGGGCAGCAGAACCGACTGCTCTAGTCTGAATATTTCGATGCTCGCTGGTAAAGAACGCTTTACTGGATTGACAAAAGCAATGCAGCCTTGTTGATGAGTATGAGCGTCAGTGTCGACGGGTTGATGCTGACGGAGGACGGGACGACGACGGGACGATCAAGAGACGCGCAGTAGTGGATAATTTGGGTTTGTTTAACCTGACAGAAATCGGTATCTGATCCTGATACAAGTCCACTTGCAGGCTCGCAGCAATGCTTTTGACTCCTGTGTCCTGCTTGATGCTTGATCCTGCTGTTTGACGTGCTAGGATGCAACACAGAGGAAAACCGGAGGGCAAGATGGTAAATTTTTTAACAAAGTATAAGTATGACTCCAATTAGGAGGCCTTCAGATTGAGACTCGGGGTCTGTAACAGAATCAATAAGATGAGGAAGAAAAAGCAATATTGAATTATGACCAACCAGAAGAGAGGAACCAGAACGCTGTACTTATAGATATTCAGATCATGTAGGTATTAAGACAGTTGCCTTAGCATTCGGCAGCAGATGTTCTTTATATTCCAGTACTGATTTGGACGACTCTCGAGCCAAGTAGGAGTCTACCTGGTCTATCTGCCTTGGTATTATTGATTTTTCCTTATGCTCCGTCCCTCCTTTGCCCCTGGACCCTCTTGTGTCTTGGAGCTCCTTGTCATCCATTATTATTAACAAGCTCTTAGAATGTCCCACTCTATCTATTAATACTACTATACACGAGGAGCGCTGTTTACTACATAGTGCATGCAATCAGTCTAGTCATGTAATGGTCTAGTCTGGAGGGCAGTAACCTGATCTGTATTTCTCTCTTTCAGAATGGTCACCTCTCTGAGAATCCATTCCTGAACGATGTCTTGGTGAGCTTTCCTTTCCCCCTGTGTAGATACCAGTCACAAATAAGCCAAAGGAGTGTCTCTTTTGTCCTACCACGACACCCCGCCTCCTTCGTGAGTCTCCCCTCCAGCAGCACGGGGCAGGAACTGAACTTTGGCAGTCGGGACGCTCTGACTTGCCTGCAATCTTGTGCTCCCCTTACCCCCTAATCGGAGCTTTTTCGGCCACTTAGCCGTCTTGTTACTTTCATGAAATAAGTATTTTTATGGACGGCGGATCATCATTTTGAGACTGAAACTGATTACTTCCCTGGCAATACCAGAAGTACGTATTTCATTTGGGACTTTCGATTTCCATGGTGATTGTCGTTTTCTAGCTCCCGAGTGACAGTTTCTCCCCTGAGCCGGTGCCTGGGACTCTGATACCAATGCGCGTTTAGAGTCTGAGCTAGATTCCACGTAGGATCCACCACTGTGGGTTGAGAGGGCCTGTCTAATATGGACTACTGCTAAGGTATGCTTCTCTTGGGAGAGTTAGTTGGCCCAAGTTGATCAACACAAGCAGACACCCACACGAGCTCTTGCTGCTTTGCTCGATTTGGGTTGACTATAAGCGGATGATCAAGTCCAATAGCTGCCTGATAGGCAGAGCTATGAAAGTAGTCGATTGGCAACACGGCCCATGTCTAGCAAAGCAAGTATCGTGATCCTGTTACATCGAGCTTTAAGCCCCTGAGCTCCTTCTGACGGGGGGGCGAACACTGCTGCACTGCCGTTGTGAAATCAAAGAAAACGCTCGTCAATTTGAATGCAGAATTAGAAAAGACCTTCTTCCGAGGAACACCCAAATCAATCAGTCATTTATCTGAGGCACAAGGCTTCTCGAACAATTTCCCTCATGGCTCCCCGTTGACCGTCTGTGTCAAATATCAATAGTACATGGAATGGGCCCCGTCCGGAGTGCATCTTCCGTCCCCGTAACCCCTATTCTAACTTCGCAATTCTCCATGGAGGAGAAGCGCCAGAAATGATCCATCACCTTTTCGACGAATGATGTCAAGGGAATGCCATCAGCTCCATTAAATATTCGAAGAGAAATGACCTTCTGGAAGGGATCCGTCCTCAATCCCCAATTTCTGGGTATGGGAATGGACTCACTCCTTAGACCACAAGCTAGAAGACGCTAGAGTGCGACCAGAACTCGTGGCCTGGGGATGTTCAATGAAAACTGGGGCCTTTCAAATCTCGGCAACAGCTTCACTCTGGGAGATTTAATGTTCGACCTATTTAAATAGCTTATTCACCATTATTTAACAGAGTAGGTATAATTCAGTTCCACAGGAGCTCTTCATATAAGGTAGTTAGGTAACTTCATAAACCAACTACCTACTATGTGGGATATAGCATGCCTGCAGCTTTCAGGCTACCACAGGGCCAGACTCCCGATGCTGTGGCCAATTCCGCTACTCGCCCCAGCAGTCCCGCCTCACCATTCACCACTAATCGTTAGGTAGTGCTTTAGTTAGTCCCGCGCGGTGTGGCTTCCGGAGGCACTGCCTTCGATGATCCCGGCAACGGACTCCCTAAGCGTGTCGTGGAATATTCTTAGTCTGTTCGCAGCTGGAGAAAAGGGACGGCCAATTTACTGTTTTAATTAAGTCAAGCCACCAGACCAAGTAATAGTAACATTACCAGGTGATGGCAGTGAGCCACATCCCAGCGGTCCTCCATAATTCGAGATACTCGAAATCCAACATGTCTCATTAGTAGTATTGTCACTTGTGGCTACAGTGACATTATAATAGGGTGTCATCCTGCCATACATGGCAGCAGAACCGCATGATCCACTGGGCTGTGGCGAGGTTATGACAAATCTCATCATACACCACCCCCTAAACGGGCATGACTATGGAGTATGTGCTCGTCACGATGCTAATCACCTTACGGCAAGGTTGTCAATCATCCGAGGTCCAGTGAGCAGTGTCAGATGGGTACAGACTGCTGTCGTTCATCTTACATAGACCGTCGTCAGATTATCATGAATCTGATGCTTATTGCTCTGCCTATACGTTGAGAATAGCCTGACTTCTTCCTGGTGCTGTCCAACCATCACTGCTTATCAAGAACTGAGGTTCGAGTCATCGCCGGCAATCGCATGGTCAAGGTCAAAAAAGCAAAAAAGGAAACTGGTCATCCCGCACTTCGACTTGTACCAACTGACACTGGCAGTGCCACTGGGGACCAGGGGCTAACGGAGACGACATGATCATCAGGAGCCGTTGCACGTAGAAGGTCCAGTCCACTTACCAAACATGTCATCCATGCGTGATGTCAAATCATATCGTCTACCTGTAGCACTCTTCCTGGTCGATTATTGATTCGACTTGGATGGTGCAATCGATTGATGCAGACGCAAGCATGAGCAGGGTACCTTAGGCACCTGCATCATCCCTGCTTGCCACCAAATGGCTAGTAGAACGCCACAAGGCGCCTCTCTAACTTATCATAAAGAGGGACGATAGACCACAGGAACAGATATGTAAACGACGGGACAGGGCGGCTGCTGACAGTGGCTGCATAAGCTCATTTCTGGTTGTGCTCGCTCTTTGGGCTTGTGCGCTTGTTTGAAGGATGTCAGGGCCGCACGCTCTCTTCTCTGCAAATCAAGTACTGTGGTACAACATGAATATATATACTTGTATCCTATCACAAGTACCTGAACCAACTTGGACATTATGATATCAGGTCATGTATCTGCAGCATACTCGCAGATATTGAGATCAGTAGCAACCAGATGCGATGTGGCCTACGAGGACTGATATTCGCCGTGCTTCCTGAGGCAGACTAGGACCAGCCCTTTCATTATTACATATGAGCATCATGGTCTGGAAGCATCAGACCGTAGTATGACACCACTCAGCCAATGGAGTACTGGGCATCTCAGGCGCTACGTTCGAAATCCAGAGACTGACTTAACAGATCTCTTCTAAGCCTCACTCATGCATTTGATTCGCAGCTGGATATCAATAAATATTCTCTTTAAGGAAGTGCACATATATATTGACTGTCTTTTCACTTGTCAGCCTAATGGCATCATCTCAAGAAGCACACAAGAAACAAAAACCTGATGGCTTTCTTACATTCTTCCTGAACTCGTTTATAATTCTTACGATCCTCGGATATGAGCTGCCGATAACTGAGTGTTAATTATATATATTCATGGTTCGTGCGTCTTTGTGATGCATGATATATTCAGGTTCGAGTTGACCACAAAAGCCGATTCCAGTCAGTGACCTGGAAAATCCGACAAGACGTAGTTTCATTACTCCAATTCAGCCTTGCTATTTTATTCAGAACTATATGAGATCTTTCCAGGCGAGCAACCTGGCATGGCCTCCCCCTCGGATCTTCCAAACTCAACGAACAACCAAGTTGAGTCCGTCAAAAAGTCCCCTCAAATGTATCTACCCCATATGCATGTGTGATGTGGACGAAGTAAGGGGTTACTAGAGATGCTCCACAACATTCCCCAACACTGCGCAATGATGTATAGATAGATTCTTTATCGAAATGAATTATGTGTTCTTGAAACAAAGTCCTGAAGGATCTCTGTCATATAGTTGTGCACATTTTCCTGAAACGACCGCACTTTAAAGCATTGAAAGTCAAGTTGTACATGCCTAGTCGCAAATTGTGCTTTCTTTTGACTTCAGAAGCGACATACAGATCGGTATGAATAAACTCACTTGAATCATTGCTCTCCTATAAGACGCTACAACGGTATGTTGAAGGCTGAAGGTGTAGACAGGTCCCTGCGCGGAACATCACACAACTAGAGTCATCGGAACGGGTATGAAAAGCATCATGTCATCAATCAATAACCAGGTGGATCATCAGAAATTCGCTCCAAAATGCCTAAGTCTAGCTCGTTTCCGTCATGGAGATGGTCACTAGATGATCCTCACAGCCAAGCAAGACCGATCAACCCCACAAAGGCCGCCACGGACGCAGCTTTCGGGGCTGCAGAGCCAGCCGCTGCATTGTTGGTCGTTTGAGCATTGCCGGGCTGCGAGTTACCAGTATTACCGCCGGATCCATTTGAGCTGCGAGCACTGTTCGTCGCAGTTGCGCTGATAGTACCCGTAGCAGAGCTCAGGATAGATGTTGAAGCAGCCGCGTTATAATGTAGTGGACAAGGAGCAGGAGGTGAGGATATCATATGCATCTGTACAGATATGTATCAGTTTCTATTCATGGTTTGTGAAAGGCACATGGCATGCATAATCCACCATACCATTGTTGAATCTCTCTGCGGTCATTGTCACGGTCATCATCGCGATCATTGTCATTGTGAGTGTCGTTTCTGAACTGAGCTATGCATGCCTCACAGACGGGGACCAAAGTAGGTGCCTGGTTCCAGTCGCGGATGCACTTCATTTCGGCCCTGTGGTCGTCGCGATGCATGTTATCGCACTGCTGGGCAATGCCACCACTGGATCGCAGACGTCCCAGCAGCGATTAGGGACATCATCACGGTGGAGCTCGGCTGCGAGCGCAATGTTGCTCGCGAGAATGAGGCCAGAGAGAGCGAGGAGCTGCAAAGGGCGCATTGTTGCTGGATTCGAGTTGTAGAAATGGATTGGACTGATGGAACTGAGAGTACGATTCTGTGTGTCTCGTCTTTGAGGCGATAGCGTCTCCAGTGGATTTCAGCGCATTTCTATATTGATGCCGTCCATCACTGCTTGTCGTGTCTCCCTTAATCGCCAGACTCCGAAATCAACGATATTATCGCCCAGAGTCCATATCCCACAGCGGTCTGGTCTGTCGAGAAATTCAAAATAGAAATAGGTGAAGTGTTTGATGTGCTCCATCGGTCAGCTGCGAAAAAATAAACGCGTTTCGAAGCCTCTCCAGGATTCATATACCAAGCATCAGCATCATATCTGAGCAATGAGCCTGAAGATTGGCGCAGGGTATCCATCTTCCCAACATCGGAAAGCAGCTGCCTGGAATCTTGATAATCCATTGATCCGGTTTATGCCGGCCAAGAATGCGGTCATCGCTGCTAGACGGGTAAGGCGGGGACTGCCGACATTCGTGGCTGCAGATGAACCCTGGAGATAGTCAATGACCTGGTTTGTGATTGATCCAAGAAACTGGAGAAGTTGTATGGTGCGGGTCAATTATTGTGGCTGCGTCTCCCGTGAGTAATGAGTTGAGAGCTCAGAATTCAGGATCCCAGCATCGTAATAAACCCAGTGCTGCCTTGGATTCGGTCGAGATGATCGTTGCAATGGATACCATAGTTAGAAAATGCATCCAAGTCAGCAGTCTTGGCTCCTGTAATCACTAAACAGCGGAATGGATCATCTCTCGATGTTTAAGGTGTGGCTGAGGAGTGTGCTGAGTTCACGATGCCATTCCACGATCGCTGTTTTGTTGCAAAGATAAGTTATTGCATTGGAAGAAACCATGGACGACCCAGCGATGGATTGAGAGGATCCTGATTTAGAATAATCAATGATGTGATAGGCCTCTACAGTACTGCTCCTCCTGCACAGGATTCGCTGCCCAAAGGTTCAGGGTCCGTCAAATCAATGCAGAACCTCAAACTGGGGTACTGCACAGCCTCTCCGCTATATATAGGTTAGTTCCAGTACAGCGATATTGCCATTACATTATGACACCCGCTTAAAGGGAAGGAAGAAAGTTGTTAAGTTGAAAGAGACTTCTTCTGCGAAACCCCAGAAGTTAGCCGTCAAGCGATGTTCTGCTACCATAGATGTAACATCAACTGTAGTTGAGAAGCCTCAGGACTGATTCTACCAGATATCTCGGCGGACAAGCGACAGGATACTCAGCAGATTCAGGAATACCATACGGGAAGAAGCGCCCGTTGTCGTCTTGATATCTTGAAATGGGGCCCAGATGCACTATCGTAGGCGGAATGACCGCTGAATATGCCTGTATCCCAGATGTCGGTTTTCTCCCCGGCATCTTACCATGTTCTGATATGTTTGAATTCAATTAGATTATCGCTTTCAATAAGGACTTAGAGCGGCACCTAACTATGGGTTTATGCCCAAGAAGACTTAGATCATGATGAGGTCAAGTGTATATATCGACTATGCAGCATGATTGGCCCGGAATCAACAACCCCTCCGCAAAGCCCACCAAACCCTACGTGACTTGTTCCTCGGACTATCGGTCAAAATCACCTCAGGATCTGGAAGTTCATTAACCATAGCCTTCGGAGCTGCTCCAGTGTTCAGTTCGTGCATACCATTGTGAATATTGCTAGGCTTTCATGGCGCGAGCTGCCATTGGTAAGATGGCATGGGATAAATACATTCTGCGTTCAGTGCCAGAGGCACCGCCTGTTCATCTTCCGCTCTTTCTATACGGCACAGCATGGAAGAAAGAACGGACGGCAGATTTGGTGTACCAAGCACTGAGCGCAGGATTCAGAGCGGTCGATACGGCTGCTCAGCCAAAGCATTACCAGGAGGATTTGGTAGGAGAAGGTATTCGCAGAGCGATCCATGATAGACTACTTCGACGGGAGGAATTATACGTGAGTTGAAGCCTGAGTATGACGGTGTCTTGACGCTTGCTAAAGTGAGAATAGATTCAGACAAAATTTACGTCCGTTCAAGGGCAGGACCCCAATAAAATGCCCTATAATCCCAAAACTTCAGTGACAGAACAGGTTCATGCCTCAGTCAAGTCATCTCTGCACAATCTTCGCGCCTCAGAAGCCTCGTCGAGTGCTGAAGATGCTTACATTGATACGGTTGTTCTTCACTCGCCTCTGTCCACAATGGCTGAGACTATGGAGGCTTGGCTCACGCTTGAATCATACGTGCCTCATCGCATCCGCAACCTGGGTATATCAAACTGTGCCTTACCAATCCTGAAGGAACTTTATGCCCGGGCGACGGTTAAACCCGCGGTGGTCCAGAATCGCTTCTATCCAGATACGCGATTTGACGTCCCAGTGCGCGCCTTTTGTCGGACCCACGACATCATTTACCAAAGTTTTTGGACTCTGACTGCCAACCCGGAACTAGTTCGATCAGACGCGGTTCAATCACTAGCGAGTCAAGCAGAGATTAGTCCTGCAGCAGCATTATACTGTCTTGTCCTGGGCCTGGGTAACACAACCGTCCTGAACGGTACGACCAACAGGGCTCGGATGGGTGCGGATTTGGCTGATGTTCGAAAGGTCGAGCAATTTAGCAAGGACAGTCCCGATTCATGGCAGATGGTACTGGATCATTTCAAGAGGCTTATAGGCGACGATGTGACACTGTAAAGAAGTAGTTCATCTATCTCACTGTATTATCGAACACTCCAGGGGAGGTATCGGAGTTTGTTCCTGAGGTCATCCCTTGCATCGGGTTGCAAATACGCAGAGGGAACATGGAAATCAATGGAAATCAATTGAAGCTTCTAGACCCGAAGATTGAAACACGAAGGCAGCGCAAGACAGAGGAGTATGAGAAAAAGCTTCAGAAAAGTTGGCCGCAAATCTTGGATCAAACATATGCCTAAGGCCAGAAACAGTAAAGAGGGCGACACGGTTCTAAGTTAGCGTGAGTTGATTGGTCCGCCAGTTAATTGAAGTGGGGCTGGCATTTTGGGAATTGCCAGTTTTGGCAGAATAGTACATACTATATAGCAATTCGAGGATGATTCCCCATTATGAGGTCTCAACTCGATTTCAATAACACATATCCCGCAATCGTAGATCCTCAGCAGCCTGAAAGATATTACGTATCGACCTTTACAGCGGTCAATTCCTGCCTGTTGTGCTGGCCTCCAGAGAATTTCGGGTTTCAATGTGAAGCGGGTCAGCGGCACGTGTTTTGGGCACTAGAGAGCTGACTCATCACAGAAGCCAATCGGCAGGCGATTTCTGGGCCGTCAAAGCAGGATTGACCTCATCCGTCCGCCGCCAAGCCATCTCGACAAGAGGGATTTGCCAGTTCGTTGGCCGTCTTGGGTTTTGCCGTTCTTCCTACTAAGTATTCTGAATCGACCTGGACGTCTCCCCCTCATCGTACAGCCTTTTATCATCCTCATCTTGGTTGTGCAGCGTCAGTTGGCATCGTGTACGTCGTGTCCGTCCCCTTTTCCGACCCACAACCTTTGTTCGTCAGCAGACATTTGGGGCTCGCAGTGCTCGACCGCCTAGACGGGACTGTATCCAGTAGCGATAGGTTCAACCCATCCCACTGTCACTATCCTTGGTCGTTGCGGAATTGTCTCCCGGTGCTTCCTGCCTATTGTCCATCGTTGCATTCAGACCTGCGATAGGCGTCTGTCGCGTCTGTCGCGTCTCCGCCATCCTTAACTCTCGTTTCCTGCCGTCAGCAACGCCGCCATCATCCCGCTGTCGTCAGGGTGTTCCTTGGTTCCCTCTGGGCGATAAAAAGACATTTACAATCGGGCTTTTGTTGCCATTACCCTGACAGGTTGTGCCACTGCGCCATTTCCCTTCCACTCTCCCCGGCTACAAGTCACCCGAGCGCTGGACAAACCTTCGAAGCGATTCACATCCTCTGGCGTCAAATCTAAGAAATCTTCAACGTCGCCCGTGGCCTGATTCCAACCTGAGAATACCGCAATAATTGTTCGAGCGATTACTTTCCGACCAAGCAGAGGTCGTCCAGTCTGTCGCCTGTAATGAGTTCTCAAGGTGTAACTCGCAAAAGACCTGCTCCTGGCACAACCCCTACTGTTCATCCCCAACTGAGCCCAATTTCGAACTACCCAGCCGCGAATCCTGGCTCTCAGTTATCGAATGATCAGTTTTTGCAATGGGGCCAGAACCCTCCCAATGTCATAACACCGCCCTACACTGACGCCGCCGGCTCTTACAACGTCGCGCCTTATACGACAAATCAAGACGTTCCGGGAGCCACGGCCACCGCATCTACCCAGCTTGCTCGCCGACAGCTACCGAATCAACTAGTCAATAGGGGTCGCGGTTATGAACAAACGCCGTCTGCTTACTCCGATCATAGCAGTGGCGCTGGAGAACCTGGGGGATGGGGAGAAAGTCTGGATGAACTCTATCGGCGTGCGTTGGTCGCAAAGAGAGAAGCGCAGGCAAAAAGGAAACAGATACCGCCGTTCGTACAGAAGTTGAGCAGGTATGCCTCTCCTGGGATGAGCTTGTCAAACACGATGCTGACTGCTATCATTTTAGTTTCCTCGACGAGTCGAAAAATACCGATCTTATACGATGGTCTGATGATGGAAACTCCTTCATCGTGTTGGACGAAGACGAATTCGCCAAAACTTTGATTCCCGAACTCTTCAAGCACAATAACTATGCTTCCTTTGTTCGCCAGCTGAACATGTACGGGTTCCATAAGAAGGTGGGTCTGTCCGACAACTCGATGCGAGCCAGCGAGCGGAAGAACAAGAGTCCCAGCGAATATGCGAATCCCTACTTCAAACGTGGCCATCCCGATCTGCTGTGGTTGATCCAAAAGCCCAAGAACACTGCAGGGCAAGGCAGCAAGTCAGGAAAGGGGAATGTGCGAGTGAAGACCGAGGAAGTGGATGAGAACGAAAATGATGACTATGGTGAAGATGGTGCGTCCCGGGATGATCGTAACCGCAGTCGCCAACTATCTTTAGTCCCCGGAAGCATGATGCCGAAGGACCAACTTGCGGGCGTCTATCGGGAATTGCAAGCCATTAGGCAGCAGCAGCAAATCATTTCCAACACCATCAGCAAACTGAGGAGAGAGCACGAACAGCTCTATGCGCAGGCTGCCAATTTCCAGGAACAGCATAATCGCCATGAGAATTCCATCAATGCAATCCTCACTTTCCTGGCCACGGTGTACAATCGCAGCCTCCAGGGACAAGACGGAACGCAGAATCTTGCCAATTCTTTTGCGGGTGTCATCTCACAGGATCAAGGTAACGTGGTCGACATGGTCGATGACTTTTCACTGAGCGCGCTAGGTGCGGCCAATATCAATAGCCCTACTGCACAGCGGTCGATGAAGAAACAGCCGTTGTTGCTGAAGGCTCCTCCGACCACTGAGCGTCAGAATGGTCGTGCTACTACGCTCTCACCCGCATCTAGCACATATGATCGTTCACAGTCTCGCGGCCATAGCCGACAACCCAGTGTTGCTAAGGCCGGCCACGTCGAGGAGGTCTTTGAGACGAGCCCTACGCAGAAAGATGCCACGACTTCACAGAACCGGCAGTATCCCCAGAGCGACATAATGTCTGTCATTCAGAATACGAATGCGCGGAATGGTATTCCCACGACTTTTGCTGAATTTCCCAACGTGCTTTCATCCCTCGAGACTTCTGGCGGTAATTCTCCACTCACTCCGAATCAACGCGCAGATATGCTCCGACTTATAGCCAACGAATCTCACACCGATCCAAATATTCCTGTGCCTTCCAACAATGCTTTGATAACTCCGATGCCTCCACCTATGCCGCATAATTATAATGGCCGTCTTGCAAATACTCGCGCCGAGATAGACAACTTGATGAAGATGCAAGCCGAACAAGATCGTTCTGTACAGAACTTAACCAATCTTTTGCAACCGCTTAGTCCCACCGGGACCATCCCGGGACTTGCAGGAGGAGAAAATGGAAGCGTGCCCCCACCCGCGCTTGATCTTGACCAAATTTTTAATAACGACTATTTCACCGACATTGGAGATCTTGAGCACAATAAGCCTAACATAGATTTTGGAGATACAACAAGCTCAGTGCCTGCGCATGCGCCGGTCGAGGCGCCCGTCACTACTGGTGCAGATGACGTCAAGGATGGAAGCGACCTGTTCGACTTCGACCAAATCCCCCCGGAGGGCGATCTTTTCGATACATCGACCGCACCGCACCAGAGTTCCGCTTTCTTCAATGGATATGACGGTGCTGGCTATCATGCTGGCTCCGGGACTAATGGGCAGACTCCCATTGGCCACAAGAGTCACAACGGAGATTCAGGGCGGATTGTCGAAACTCTCACCGACAGTGAATCAACCAGTCCCAGCACTAACGTGGAAGAGGTACCACAATACACTGACCCGTCCGGGTTCAATGAATCTCACGGAGGTAAGGGAAATGGCGGCAATGCGAAACGACGCAGGAAGGCTTGATGTTGCATGACATCTACTAACTTGGCTTCGAGTCAATGAAGAAAGCGAGGAGGTACCGGTATGAGCCAGAGACGCACGAGTGGAAACAAGTCAGCAACGAGGAATCCCTAAGGTGTGGAATATTCGGTGGGCGATCTGAACTTTACGAACTTCAAGTCATACGTTTCATGACATCGTCTTCAATTTATGTCACCCTCGCCCATTTTACCGAGTTAGCAAAGTAGAGCAACAAAGTGCTTTGCGGTCGATAACGGCACATAATGACGACTTTAATTTCTTTTTATTTCTTTCCTACTTCAACACATTTTATTCTACCCACATGAGCAACAGACGCTTTGATCAAAATTATGAATTTTTGGGCCTGGATGATTCAGCATGGAGGTTATCTCAGCGAGTTCATCTCAGAAAACGGTACGATGGGCCTCGGTTCTGGGGAGCAATGTTTATGCCTTGTGATGTATGACTGGCTTCATGAATTAGTACATAGCAACCTTTCAAACACGGCGAATATACTACTGTCCATGTATATGCAATGCCCAAATATCTGTATATCTCATGGCGGCATTTCTATGGCGCCTCACTGAGCTGGTAGATCGCCCTGCTAGAGAGGATCCTCGAAGAGCGACAGGGTTAAGGGTTAACGTTACGGCTATCTGTAGCTTGCGGGACTCATTGAGGAAACAGGCGATGTTGAGGTATACTTCCAGTTCCATTTGATTATCATTACATCAAGGCTTCTCCCTTCTCCTTCGATCCCACTCCTGATCGCCAACACGCTCCCGCTTGCGATCCCGCTCACGATCGCGCTCGAGGCCGCGCCGCCTCCCACCCACAAACTCCTTCTCGCGCTCCCGCGGATCAATCACAACAAGGGAGTCAACATCGTCCGGGTGCTCGCGCTTCCACTGCAGATCTTTGCCGAGCATATCCTTCCCGAAGCGGAGTTCGTGCGTCAACCAGTCCCGGTCGTCCTCGTCGGCGGCCGTCTCTGCGGCGCCGGTGTCATCCCATGACTTACACGACTGGCAATTGGCGATGAAGTGGAGGTCGCAGAGTTGGGCCTCTTCGTCTTCGGGTTCGTTGTTGGCGCTGGCTTGTTCGGAGGTGTGTTTCGTGGTGTCTGAGGCTGAGACTGAGGCTGAGGCCGAGGGCTTCTCGTGAGGGGCGGACTTGGCGTCCGCGCTTTCGAGCTTCGCTCTGAAGGCGTTGAACATGCGCAGGGTTTCGTCTTCAGCGGCACTGCTGAAGCCCGTTACGCCGTTGGTGCTGCTGCCGCGGCCGGCGCCATTGACGGTCCCCGGGTGTGGGCGTTTGCGGCCGCGGATGGCGGTCTCGGGGATCATGGCTTCCAGGGCGGACTTCTTGCGGCCGGTGTCTGCCGGGCCTGTGGCGACGGTGCGCCGCATCGAGGCTTTGAGGTTCTCGATCTCGGCCTTTGTCCGTGATAGGATCGACTGTCGTACTGGAGGCGATTGGGGTGGGGAGCGGGCGGGGCTTTCAGGGTCAGGGAGGGGAAGCTGTGTTAAGGGATCTGGAGACTTGGGACGATGTTTGCGCTCGGCAGATGGGGCCCGTTTCGGGGAGGGTGAGCGAGGACGCTTCCTGTTCTGCTGCTTCTCCTCTGCTGATGTCTTCTTCGGTGCGTCGTCGGCTGTCGGGATCCCGGCGTCGACAACTAGAGTCGGGTTGAATTTGGGCTTCGACGGCCGCACAGGGACATCTTCGTCTCCTTCGTCGCCGCCAAAACTCAACAGCGTCTTGCCCCCTTTCGCCTTCTTCTTCTTCTTCTTCGCCGCAGGCTTTTCCTCCGCCGCCGGCGGCGCAGTCGCAATCGTCTCCCGCTTCTTCAACTTCCCAGCAAACGGGCCCAGCTCCCCAACCTCGCACGAAACCACCTTCACAGGGTAAACAGGCCGCTCCGTCCCCTCCACACGCTCCGCCTCCGCGATCTTCAGCACGTTGTAGATACTGTCCCCCTCGACGCGCCCAAACAGCGTACACTGCCCGTTCAACTCCCGCTCCGTGTTCGCCAGCGTAATGAAGAACTGGCTCCCGTATGTCCCGTCCTCGCTCTTCGCCATCCCCACCAGCCCGCGCCGGTTGAAGCGCAACCGGCTATGGAGCTCATCTCGCAACACGACCTTCTCGTTGGGATCGCGCCCTTCCGGGTCGTATTCGAATTCGGGGTACTCGTAAATGGAGGTTCCGCCGGAGCCTGTGCCGGTGGGATCGCCGCCCTGGACAATGAAGTCAGGGACGATGCGGTGGAAGATCGTGCCGGCGTAGTAGTTGTCCAGGCAATGTTGGAGGAAGTTCTTGCATGTGAGGGGGGTTTGGTTGGCGAAGAGGGCGATGTGGATGGGGCCGAAGGTGGTGTGCAGAGTGGCGGATGCGGTGGGCGGCGGCTCGGTGGTATAATGCGTTGACATGTTGTGCTTTTAAGGAAAATATAGGAGGTCTGTAGGGCCGGTGAAGTGGTTTTTGTGATCTAAGCTGTACCAGTCGGAGCCAAGCGGCTTGAGCTCTACAGCCGTAGCAGCTCCAGTTGAGATGAAATTTCAGGCTCAATCGATGTCTGTTGAGTGTAAACCATGCATAGACTTCTAATGCGTAATCCGAGTAGCCTCTGAAGTTGGGGAGAGAGCGTAGGTTGGTGGGTGGTGCTCGGAGATGAATTTGCGGGAAGTTCTTGGAGCTCTTTTGGGGAACTTTCGAGGTCACGTCATGTTGCTGGCGCATGTTTATCCTATCGGTCCTCTACATCAACAACTCCAGAAACTATTTGACGTGGCACCTAAGACATCGACAACGTAAAAATTGCTTTTATTTTTGAATAGCTTCAGGTAGTTTCAAGCTTCTTGCTTGATACCGGCACATATTGGCTACTGACGACACGACATCAACGCATACTTTCCTGTCCTTCGTTTTCAATAGCGAGAAATAAGCTACGGGGGCCATGTCCCATGCGTCTTCTATAAGACTGGTTTTGTTGCTGGGGGGTTCATAACACCGGGATTCCGTCAAGCCATTTGCGAAATCCCATTAGAGAGGAAGCATCCACACTCCATCAAATCGTGGACATCGCCTTCATACCAGACGGCATCATCATATGCAATCTCTTGAGATGTGTATGATTGATTGAATCAGTTTATCTCAAATACAGGGTCCCATATACTGTCCATCGGGTCATATATTCCATACACATCACTATAACACTGTTCCATAGGAGGGCAACTTGATATCGTCAGTCCACGAGTTCGAGCATCAGAAGGCACAACTTACTATACAGGCTCCTGGCCAAATATAATATGCCACATGTACTCCATAACCCTCCCGCTAGTATCATCATCCCACGACGTTTCCATGACCCACTGATGATACCGAAGATAATCACTCAGCGGACGCTCGAGGATCTGCTTCCTCGACACCGCAAACTGAGCGCAACAAGGAACCGCAACGACTTCGGGAACTTTCGTCCCGTTGAAAAAGTAATGCCAACCGTCTGGAAACGCATGCTCCGCATGGCGGCCTTCGTCGCGGGGCTCGCGAAACGGCTGCACTTCATCCGGACAGCCGGGGTACCAGTCGCAGCGTAAATTGACGTAGCCGTTGCGCTGGACAAAGTCGACTTTCAGCATGCGGACGGTCTTCACGTTGCTGTGATCGTAGAACTCGGTGTGCCATCCCTTGATACCGTCGCGGTGGCTGTGGAGGAAGATGATGGTTTCGGGGAGTTTGTGGTAGTTGTCGATGATGTACTGTAGATACACATTGGCCTCTCGGCCTTTATTCTTCTTCACCCGGAGCGGCGCGTCTGGATTATCCACGGTGTAGATCGCATGCTGCCATCTGTTTGTTGTTTGAGCATCAGCTGGCAATACGTAAACCCCAAGCAGGGGCAGATATGAAGAAAAGAACTTACTCGGGCAGCTCCTTCATAACCCAGCTCACATCTTCACTTTCCAGTCGTCCCATAACAATCACTCCGTCCCGGTGAAACTCCTCGTCAATCGTCCACTGCGCCGAGGCGGGCGTTTGCACCGGCACAAGATCAGTGATAGCCGGTCGCCTAGTAGGCGCGAGAGACTCGGTCGGTTGGATCCTATCTCCATCGCGAACATCTTCAGCTCGCGCCGGATCACCCTTCGACTCGTCCCCGTCCACCAACATAGGGACATTACCAGATAGCGCTGACTGGCCCCGTAGCGAGCTAAAGCGAAGGCTCAACGCAAAACAAGCGATGAGGAATAGAAGCGCCGCGTACAGAACGTTGGGTTTCATGGCTTGACGCGTCATCACACAGTCGCAGAGCCAGCTCTCCTATCGACGCATTCGATGTGAACTTATGCGCGGAGGAAATTCATCACAGGTACTGGCTGGATGAAGGACATGAAAGTCGCGATTGACTATCGAATTGCGACCTGGAGGATAAGTAGGAGTATAGTCGCAATTACACCACGACATCCTACTCCTCCCAGCGGACTAGCAGGCGGACGCATCAGCGAGCCACGAGTGTAGATGTCATGGACTCCTGAGCGACCGTCATAGCCCTACCCGTCCTACCCTAATCCGGCGCTCATGATTCGAGCCGGTCCGGGACGGCAAAGACCCAGAGTGAGCGTATCAGGATCATCAGGAACGCGCAAGTCCATCGCTTTCTTCTTCCTTTTTTTTGACAGTAAGCTGGACCTCAAAGGCAAGGCCGCGCTATGGATTGAATTAGGATTAGACTATTGCCGACTGGCTCGGACGATGTGGATCTTGAGATTGGCCTCGTGCTGTGGTTGGTGATCGTCGTCAATCATGGATTAGTGACATACCGACATACGTCAGCAGTTCGGAATATAGTTGTTTAGGGCGGGTCATCTAGAAATAAAAGGAGACGAGATGGTCAATGGTAAGGAGGCGGGTAGACGAGGCCAGAGACTGCGTGGCTGTCAGAATATCATTGGGGGAGATGGTGGAAGCGTCGACGTGGAGGGTTACTTGATAGACGCTAGACTAGAGTCTAGTGATCAGATAAATCCTAAATCAATAGAGGCGCGCACTATCTATCTGGATATTTAATATTTAGATATTACCAGTATCTCTAGCAGCATTCGGAAAAGCGCCAGTGTCTAGTGATGAATGTTAGCCAACACTTATCTATGCGTAGATTCGCACCCTGGACAAATGTAGAAAAGGCTGATGGGCATTGTAATGATGAGAATAGCTTGGCATATCTAATTTAACCTCTTTACCACTTACTTCACGAATGAATATGTATGGATAGATGCTCGACTACGTTATTCCAGATCACGCTCAATCTGAGGGTGCCAATATGTCTTCAGACATGATTGATTTGCCTGCGCAAGTACCAACCCTTTCTTTTCGGTTGTAACATTCATTCCAAGTCATTTATATGCATTAATATCATATATGCATCTCTCATTGAAATTATCTTAGTTGCTACTGTCATTGCAATATTATGAGTTCATTCAGTGAAGCCATTCAAATCCTCTCATTATTTTTCCACATTAATCGACGTCAAAAGCTGATGCATCACCTCAAGCCTTCTTAGGTTCCTCAACAGCTGTGGTCCCGACCTCAGACACAGCATTCCGCTTCTTGGTGATTCTGAAACCACCGAAAAGCAGGAAGACCGCTTCCAGACCCAGGATCACCGCCAGAGTGACCATGGCACCGATAACACCAGCGACGGGTCGCGACACCCCACCGTCGGACGAGTTCGAGCCCGCAGAGGAAGAGTTGGATCCAGAAGAGGAGACAGAGTAAGCGGCACACGCGCCGTCCGTGTTTCCGCACGCCTTGCACCACTGCTCGTCATCCGTGATGGCAATCTTGTCGGTCAGCGCCACAAAGTCGGACCAGGGGATGGTGGCGCTCGACTGGCCGTACAAGGGGTATTCGGCCGGGGTGGACGTGCTGCTGATGGTGCCGTTGTGGAAGATGAAGCGCACGCTGATCTCGGAGGCGGAGGGGAACTCGTCCGAGCTGGAGTTGGTGACGAGCTCCCAGGCCATGGAGGAGGCGTAGTCCGGGATGCCGGTGAAGTTGGCCGTTGCAGTGGGCAGCTGCGCCAGGCCAAAGTACGAGAGGAAGGTGCCGTACGAGCCGAACTGGAGGTTCAGCTTGCTCTTGCCCTTGGAGGTGATGGTCTTGTTGAGACCCTGGAGTATCTCGCCGGCGAGGGTTGACCCTGCGACCGCGCGGATAGGCTCGGAGGCGTTGTAGGCCAGGTTGTACTGCTCGATGTTGGCGAGCAAGAACAGCTTCTCGCGGATCTCCGCTGAGGGATAGTCGCTGCTCGAGTTGTGGATCGACGCGACGTTGAGGAAGTCCCAGATGGTGTAGGCGGACTTGAAGCTCATCTTGGAGTCGCTGAAGGTGTCGTTCAGATATGGCGAAAGCGACTTGTAGAAGTCGCTGGTGGAGGCGAGCAGATCCTTGTACAGAGCTGAGCTGTAGTAATTGTTGCTGCTGACCTCGGCGTTTTGGCACTGGGTCGCATCCTGCAACCAGGTGTTGCTCTCGCTGTTGGTACCGGTCTCGATGAGCGCCAGAGGGATCAACTGGTAGCCGTTCAAGGGCGCCTCAACCGTCGTGCCATTGCCCAGTGTTTGGCTGGCCATGGTTCCGACGGGAGGATAGACACCCTGCAGGAAACCGGTGGCCGAATTCTGAAGCACGTTGTCCGAGGGTGCCGAAGCACTGATCTGGTTGAGATTGACAATCTCCTCGCTGATACCCTGGATGTAGTGCGAAGAGTTGGAGTTGATGTAGCGGTCATGGTAGTAGCTGCCAGTGAGGAACACTTCCTTATATCCCAGGTCGGTGAGTTGAGTGTTGCCCAGCACCTTGGGCGTCCGATCACCATGCCGAGCGAAGATATAAGCTCCAAGAACCTTTTCTGCAGATGCGAAGGGCATGGCCATAAGGGCCAGCAGGACGCTGGTGGTTTGCACCGAAGTCCGCATGGTGAGGCTGCTCAGTAAGTTGACTTATCGAGGGCAGTAGAGGGGAACCAGATTTTCGAGATCTTTTAGTGGGTATCACGATTGATTAAATATTCTGTTCTATCAGCAGACAATTGGAGAATAACCCCGCGGAATCATGCTGACTGTTATCATGATGACCTCGTTTAAAGTCAGTACACAGTGGGGACCAGAGCAGACAACAAATKGTAACAACTCAATCTTCTTCTAGCACAGACTGAGGGGTATCTCGGAGCTTGCCTTAATAGTTGGTCGATAAACCTGTCAAGCACTAGACTACTCATGTCCCAAGTAAGTGCTGCATCTGACCAGTAGCATCTTCGAAGGAGAATTGCAGGCCATCCACTAGGGCCGTACTACTCCATGTTGCAAGCAATGAGTCAAGAAGAGGAGAAAACATTAGCTAATAATACCACCTATCAAAAAAGATAACAGCCATTCAGTGGTTGACCAAGTGGAGAGAGCAGATGCCCTGTTCCCGTATCCTTGCGATCCTCCACCTTGGCTTGGAAGCGGAAGTTTATCTTTAACGCTCGAGAGACGACGAGGAGAATATTGGAGACTCTAGGACTCCATAGACCTACGAGAAATCCATGGTAGGATCGCTATCGGGGAACTCCGCGGACATCTGTACCTTGTTCTCTGGCGGGGCAGAGACTCCATGTTTTTCCTCGGCGCTGCCTTCCGTCGCATCTTCTGCAAAAGAGTGTCTACTGATAGATAAGGTCAAAAATGTCTGATTAAGAGTCGCTTCCAAAGTGCGTAGAGGCTCTCATTCTGATACATCTTGTTCGAATTGCACAAAAAGCGATGTTGGGCATCATCATCATGAGCATGATGCATCAACTTTTTTCAAAAGCCAGAAAGCAGCAAACACCCCACTTTACTCCATAGACACCGTATAGGATCCTAGTTGTACCTGGTGTCCATCTTGAGAAAGCTCATTATTGTTGCTTACTATTGTTCACTCTTCAGTCTGAAGCAAAAGCGGGGCTCCCATACAGTTAATTCCTTGACAAGTAGATACTCTGCATTCTGAATCAATCTCTCTGGGTGTTTTCTCCGACGCCCCTAAAGCAAATGAGCATTCCAATGAACGTGAAACGTGATTTCAAAAGAGGTATCGAAGTACTCCTTATGCTATGTGGGTATATTGTGAGCGCCTAAATAAGCTTCGGGCTGTCCAGAATCTTGGACTATCTAGATACTCTGTGGGTCGAGGAACTGGTGCCTCTCGTTCCTTGACTTCTGTTTCCCGGAAATACTGGCAATGCACCGTCAAATGCTTCCAATACTATGACGCGCTGGCGTGCTCCGCGGAAACCTGTCTCGCGAGCGGTGCAGTGTCGAAGCTGACCCGCTTATGATTGCCAGAGCACAAAGCCATTGGCTCTTTCATCAAGGCTTCCCCAGGAACTGTTCAAGATGTTCTATTCTCCTCTACCAGCGTCAATTGCCCCAGTCACCGAGCTTTTGCGTCCATCAACTCGCAACCGTTTCGTATCACGCCCACCATCCCACCGGTCTGCATGGTCTCTGATCCACCGGCCGAAAGCCTGAATTCAATATCTGCAAGGCCTTCTAGCCAAGTGATTCTTGTCTGAGGTGGCACTTCCAGCTGTTGCAGCTGTTCCGCCAGAGCTGAAAGTATGTCGGCCAAGGCGAGACCCTTGTTGGCCTTTAGTGTGTTGAGAGTATTAAGACAGGACGTGACATCGCTGGTTGAAAGTAGTGTAGTCATGATTTCCTGGATGTCGGATGGATGTGGTGCAGCAATGCAGTCGTAAATCGTTTCGTTCGTGATAATCTCGGGTTCGGATTGTGGTTCATCCTTCATCGCATTTTTCATTGGCAGCGGTTTGCCTAGGTCGTCCCAGTCAGCATCCAATTTCTGCTTTAAAAGATAGTAGAATCCTTACTGCTCGCATGGCAAGCTTGGAGCACGTTCAATGCGCGACGCATGTCACCCTTGCTCAACCTCACTAAGCTACTCACAGCTTCTGGCTGGATCTGGATTTGCTCCTTTTCGATCACCTGATCTACCAGCGACCGGATATCCTGCTCTTTTAGGGGACTAAAGCGGAAGCGAGTACACCGTGAAAGGAGAGCCGGTGACAGTTTGTGTGTATAGTTGGCGATGATACAGAATCTCGTATTCGCGGTATATCGTTCCATGATCCGTCGCAAAGCCATCTGGGCGGTCGAGGTCATCGCATCGGCCTCGTCAAGAATAATCAACTTGAACGAAGCCAGTGAAGAGCCACTGGAGGCCGAAGGGGCTGCCATTGAAAATATTTGCTTCGTGCCTGATTGATGGGTTAGATCTTCCATCCGAGACCCCGACAATCAAGGTGCGATATGGACGTACTGGCAAAAGTCTTAATCTGCTCGCGCACTACATCAATGCCTCTGTCGTCACTAGCATTGAGTTCCAGCACCATTTGCCGCATATTGTTGCTGCCATAGATCCGTCTTGCGAGCGCGAGGATTGTGGATGTTTTACCGGTACCTGGAGGACCATAAAGCAGAAGATGGGGTAACCGCTGCAATCATATTAGTATGAGTGGTCTCGATGATGCCTTTGACGCATACATTTGCTTCGATGAATTTGTTAATGGTAGCGAGGATGTCTTGATGACCGGACACGTCGTCCAGGGTATTTGGCCGGTATTTTTCTACCCTGCGGGCTCAATTAGTGATGTATCGAAAAATATGTACGCCAAGTACTGACCATGGTAGATTATCTTGAGCTTCAACTGGCAAATCTGCAGCTGGTCTCTTAGCTCTCTTGCCGGCGTTGTCGGAGCTGAATTGAATCGCGCTCTTGGGTGCTGGGACATCGACGTCCATCTCATCCTCGTAATCGGACATTTTGAGAGGGAGATTTAAATCAGCAATGTCGGCGGTGTCAACTGGAAGAAAAAGCCAGAACAATGTTGTCTAGCGTCCTATAAATGGTTCTCTTCGAAATGAAGCTTGACGCGTCGAAACTCCGCCAGCGCGTAAAGAGATTCGGAGCCGGAAAATCATGGGGAGACAGCAAGGTATGGTTTGCCTTAGTTGGGTTTAGGCGCATCTGGTGATGACATGAATGGGCACCTCCCGCTCTGTGGCAGCAGCACCGCCTTAGGAGTTACGACAACTATCCCGCTTCGTTTATTGCTTGGAGGATCCTCATTACACCGGTTCTAAGAGGATTGATTATATCTATCGCTATAGGACAGAATGCCGGTACGAGCATTTCAATTGAACACCTGACAGGTCATTCCATGTTCTCTCCTGACGCTTATTAGGCCTACCATTCCATCTTCCTTGAGGACCGGGATGTTCCCGTAATAGGTACGAACGCATGTGCTTCTTCGCCAACCTCTCCCTCAAGAGATGCATGAATTTTCCCGCCATGCTGCGACGGACCCATCACTAACATCAGCTGTCACCGTCTACCCTCAGGCAATTTCCCTGTCCTCCCCCTCCGCACCCGTACTCGCGGCCCCGCATACACCCTCCCCGCGCTGCCCGCCGATGTCCCCGAAACCGATGTGCCTCCCGACAGCGAGTCGTACGACTGCGTAGACGAGATCCTGTCTCTTTTCCGCGCCAATGTGCTCTTCCGGAACTTTGAGATCAACGGACCTGCAGACCGCATGCTCATCTACGGAACGTTGTTCATCAGTGAATGTCTGGGGAAGGTCAAGCCGGGCATGACCTCCCGCGAGGCTGAGAAGGTACTGTTGCGACAGGAAATTGTTTTAAGGGGTCTGCTAATGGACATATATCAGGCTTTGATCAACGTTTCGCTCGACCATTTCGCTATTCCCGGTGATGTGGCCTTCCCTTTGAACCAGGCGTTCGAGCCTCCCCGTGACCGCCAGGACGCAGAGACACTGAGACAGTATGTTTCGATTCCTTTGACAAGCTTGAGGTCTGAAGTTAATGCGTTTTGATTATTAGATACCTCTCTCAAGTACGACAGGAGATCGCTATTCGACTACATGCTCGGTTATACGCTGGCGGTGAAGGGCCTTCAAAGGTAGACTGGTACTGCCCCTAATTGAACAGACTCGGTATACTGACTTCTTAACTCTTAGTGGTGGCTGAGCTTTGCAAAGAGGAAGTTTATGGGAAAGAGCCTCTAGATTGTTGAGACATGGACACGTTTTTTTGCTTTATGGCCAGCTCCTGTAACAGCAGCGTTCTGAGATATTTCCTGGTTCCCTCGACAGAAGGGCTGCAATTATTATTTCACTGTGACATATTCTAGCATGACAGGTTCCTGCCGCGCGCCTGGTTTAAAGGTTGATCCAATCGGCGTGCCACTCAGCACTTATGTCTCGGATATTCCATCTCTCAAAGGAGGCGGGAAGTCTAATATACAATATGCAAGATTATAGGTGATGCATTCCTTCCTCTTGGCTGCGAATTCGTATGACTTCGTTAGAGAACTGTACGTTTCACTTCCGGGGATTGGTGGCTCTATGCTATGATATATATCATGACTGCATTTCAACGTCCACACCACTTCCACTCTCCGCTGGTGTTGCGGATTCTTGTTGGGCTGCCACCTTCCTCCTCTTCCGGCTTGGATTACCCGCAGCCTGGATGTTCTGATGGGATGGGAATACGCGAATAGCATGGAAAATATAACCTTCAGCGCCACCACGCCCCGACATCAGCGGGTGTGTGCGCCCAGGAAGTACTTGCCATGCGCGTACTCGGGAGGTCTCGATTGTGGGCGCCAGCAAGAGGGACGGGTCGAGTGCGAAATCCTTATCTAATTCCGAGAAGTCCGGTTCCTGAGGTTTCTTCTCACCATCCTCACTCTGCCCTTGCAGAGACTGTTGTAGGCTGTGCTGTGCAATAATCTCTCGTTTTCGAGTGATGTAAGCCGTCCTCCTGGGAGTCGAATATAGATCGGCCAGCTCGGTCAGAGGCTCAATGGTTGGAGAATAGACTACCACCGGAGCGGAACCCGCCAGTAATGGGACGGTGTGTTCGAGTACACTTGCCGGTTCCATTAGCGTTGCGACAATGAGGCCGTCAAAGTTACCGGCTCGAGCCTCGTCGACAACCCGTCGTACCCGCTCCCAGCGACTCCGCTTTTTGTAGTATGCGCTGCGTCTGTTGGACTTGTAGGTGGCAAGAGTCTCGTCAGGAACTACCTCTGGTTCATTGGCATAGATAGTGTCCGCGTGAGGGTCCAAAAGTTGCATCCACGAAACGGTCTTCATATGCTTGTAAAGAGGATGCGACTCGTCGGGATTATCTTGGTCGTAGCCAAAGTATCTCAGTAATGACAAGCTAGGCTGCTTGTTCGCATGGATGACTGTGATTGAATTGCCTGATGCAGACATATGACGGCGGCGGGCAATGGCTTGGGCCATGGCGTTCGTCTGTTGTCGCTCGCCATTTTCTTCAGACCCTTCGGCGGATTCTTGCTCCTCGTCCTCCTGATCATGAGGGTACAGTATGCCCATTCTTTCGGCCATGGCGGCAACTACCAAGCCACCTGTTTCGTCAACCACCAGGTAACGGCCGTTAGGTTTTGACGCAATAGCCCCTTCGAACGACGAATTTCCTCCGTGGTGCACATTACCCCAGCACCCAAGCAGACCTATGGACTCATCACGGAGCTCCATTGTTTTCATCGCCTCTTTGCCCTCCAACATATAGTTAGTCAGAAGACTAACGTCCACGGGCAGGACTGTGAATCGCTTGAGGAACTTCTTCCGTTTCCGTAACGTGTATTTTGCGAGGGAAAATGCCGTCTTCTGGTCCAATGCGGAATGCGACTCCAACAGCTTCTCAATGATCTCTCTCCCTGCGCCTGTAGAAACTTTCTTCAGAGCTTCAATTTCTTCTGCGGTCATCTTCTGGGTCGATGCATCGTCGACGATCTCGCGATTGGTCCGTATCGGAATGCCTTCCTCGTTCACCTCCACGTCGTCGCCGTCGCCTTCTCCATCAGCGATGAGAGTCTCTGCGTGCAGCTCAGCTGGGGAGACAATTCGAAGGCAATTGTCATTGTTCTCGCCCGAAACGTCAATAATCTCAAAGGTTAGGTAGAAAGGACGACCTATAATCGTGTTGGCGGGGAAGCTCCCGTACTTCCCCAAGAATACTACTCTAGCCCAAGGTCAGTATGAAATTATCTAAAGCGATTCCGGACACTAGCGTACGTATTCGGCACGAGTCTGACAATTTTTGTAAGCTCAGACGGAAGTCGCAGAGCGACATGCTGGTAAGGACGAATGTAGGAATGCATGGTCGGAAACTGAATTCACGAAGATCAATTCAAACTTCAGTAGTAACACATGTCTCGCCGTAGACGTGCCTCTACAGTTGAATGCGGACTTAAATGTTGCGCGACAGTCTCTGCCGTATCACTGATAACCAAAAAATGCCCTCTCTTTTTCCTTTTTGCATGATACTAACGCACGGGCCATATCAGTTATGCAATCTTGATAGCAGATTACATAAGCCAGCCGTCATTGTCGATCTCGGAAGAAAGATTTTACGGTTTACGCCCCGATGCGATGTGGCTGAGGCAAGTATGTACTATACAATACGACTAAACGCCACTGAGGAACAAACTCCAGGCAGCAAAATTGGGTCCTTGTAACGATTGGGCGTACGAGCTGATATTCTCCACAGCGCCAACCCCGGAGTCCCTGGTAACCTAGGTAGAGATAGCTTGTGGAAATCCGGATGCCTGCTCCTAACTTGTAGTATATGGATTTGTTCAAATTCCTCCCTTGGCCTCTCGGAATGAATTCTGAGTCCTGATTCCGGCGAGCTCACTGTCATTTGTAACAATCAATGGGCACAGGGCTGGATGGCGTTGATATCACACCCATCCTAGTCCGTGGCTGAGCACTGTTTGCCCGGTTCTGAGCCACCAGTTACGTATACATCCTCACCTGTCTTGAACAATAGCATCAAGCCACCAGCGACTCTGCCACGGTTCTACATGCGTCCGAAGAGATTTTGGAGGTTAGCATAGTTTACCCATCATCTAGCTCTTTCCGCTTTAAAGCCATTTTAGGTATCTGATCATCCTGTGTCCTTTGTCCAAACAAGGCGGACCGCTACACCACTGGCGGGCCTCAAGAGCTTGTCTTCATCAGATTGACGCCTAGAGGCTAATCATGCGGCTATAGGAGAAATTCGCCTCTATGGTCCTTCGAAAACGTGCACCGCCCCATCTGTATAGTCTCAACCTAGGAAATGCTCGCTCTGAACCTCGCTCTCCAATCTCACCGACTTCTCCGACTGCGAAATCAGCTACCTCACCTTCCCCCAAGCGCCTAACTCGTCCCAGAAGGGCAAAAAGCTCTCCCCATCCTTATCAAATACCCTCGGAGGAGTCTATTTATTCCCCAGATCTCAACACTTCGCCAGCATTCGACTTGATGCCTTTGGAACAAGCTCAGAAGTCCCCTGTGGGGACTCTGTCCAGTGACACCGCCAACCCATGGGCGGATGATGTAGTGGAAAGGCGTGACAAGAGTCATTCTGTCTCTGAGCATCCGCCAGTCCATGCTGGGGAACCACTGCAGGGGCCGCCACTAGATAGTAGAAGAGGTGATCGCGTACCTTCGATCGTCGTTGCGGGCACTCAGAGAAGGATGGCAGCGAACGAATGGCAAGAGGTAAACAACAGTGCGAATTGGGAGCCACCTATCCAACTCCAATCCAACAACCCTTTCTTGAAAGCGAGACAATCCGATGAGAATCCTTGGGGCTCGAATAACCTACGAGCATCACAGGGAGATAACTCAAGTGATCGATTGAGTCAGAGTAGGTTGTTACCGGCCACACTCGTTTTGGTATCACTGCTTATACAGTTTTAGGCGAAGGTTATATTCCAATGACTGCGCGCTTGTCGCTTCTAGACCAGTCAGCACCGGAGTCTCCATGGGCTGAAGAACGTCCTGAGGCAGCAACACAGTCTCCCTCTTGGCAAAACAGTCGAACGGACCCTCAAAATATGTCTTCCATGCCTCACGAGGTCCGCGAAAATGGCTCGACATCTCCTTTCCAGACATCACCCATAGGCAATGAGCATGGGTACTCATCGCAATATCTGCAGCAGACAGATCATGGGTCGCTTGCTGCGGGGAGCGGCATTGAAACTCCTTATGCGACTGATTCTACCATGACGACTCCATCTTCACATGAACTTATCGAAGTCGATGAGCCTTTCCACGCCAGCGCTGAACCCACTTCACAGCTTCTACCACAGAATACCTCAGCTGCACCTGCGCCACCATTACCGCAGCGCCCGAACGCAGATGCAAATCAGGCCCCACCACTACCGTCGAGAAACGCTGCATTGTCCGAACTAGATGAACAGCAGCAGAACGAGCAGAGATCCGAGACATATTCGATCCGCCATGTCAACTGGACAGATCCCACGGGGCAATTGCGCGAGTCTCCGGTGTTAGTCCAAAATAAAAACGGGCCCTGTCCATTACTAGCCCTTGTCAACACGCTAGTACTGCGTGCGGATCGGGATCTGCAGCCACCAATTGTTAGAGCTCTGCGGTCCAAAGAGCAGATCTCTCTGGGTCTGTTGATTGAGGCATTGTTTGATGAATTGACGACTCGCATGGGGACCGATGGTGAACTTCCGGATATTGAGGCGCTCAGTCGCTTCCTGACGATGCTGCACACGGGGATGAACGTCAACCCTCGGCTCACTCTGGTACGAAGATCATTGTCTGCAAGGTTCACGAGAAATCAGTACTGACATTGACGACGCAGGAATCGGATGACGCCCCAGGCACCTTCCAAAATACAGACGACATCCGGCTCTACGGTACTTTCGGCGTTCCTCTCGTGCACGGTTGGGTCGCACCGCCTGCGAGCGAAGCCGATGGCGCACTGAAGAGACTGGCACAATACTATGAAGATGTCCAATTACTGCCCTTTCGCAAACATGAACTTGAAGATCGTGTCTTCCGAGGAGAGACGCTAACTTGGGACGAGGAACAAGCCATGAAAGATATTCACGCAATCCAGAATTTTACTGAAATTGAGAACGCGACTCAGTTGAGTGCATTTGGCTTGGATCACCTTACCGAGAAAATGCGTCCTGGGACTTTCTCGATCTTGTTCCGCAACGATCATTTCTCGACTGTCTATAAACATCCTCAGCGGCATCAACTGTTTACCCTTGTCACCGATGCCGGCTATTCCAACCACGCGGAAATTGTTTGGGAGTGTCTGGTTGATGTGAATGGATCCAATGCAGGGTTCTTCTCGGGCGACTTTCGCCCCGTTGGTCATGCTACATCCGGTGCCGATCCATCCGGTCCACGAACCTCCAGCAATAGAACGAACGTTCCTTCAGTCCCAAGTGAAGATAGAACAAGCGCATTGTCTCCCCAGGAGCAAGCCGACGCTGACTACGCCTACGCGCTATCCCTTCAATACCAGGAAGAAGAACGCCGGGAAAGAGAGAGCAATAACCAGTCACGCAGTCAACGGGCTTCAGCCCCAAACTATCCCCGAGGAGCTTCTTGGGGCTTAAACTCGGCGCACCAACGTTCAGCGAGTGTAGCGAACGGTAGCGTTAGTCAACCCGCGTCAGACGGCCGCTCTTCAAGGCCAGGTCCTGGCGCCAGTAACAACGCTGAAGATGTCCCTCCTCCATCCTACGAACAGGCGGCCACCAGCCCAGCACACTCACAACGAGATAGTTCACACAATGCTTGGCCTCAGCAAGTTCGATATCAAAGACACTCCTTGGGACGGCGAATAGCCCCAGGTCCAGTTGCAGCAGGCCCAGGAGATCGGCCCAAGGATCGAAACAAAGACTGTGTGGTCATGTAGTGCCCACGCTCTCAGGTCGATTTACAGATCTCGAGGACGCATACCAAGACAAGGCATTGTGCCTATCAAGGACCTGATCAGTTTTCGGCAACGGTTTTTACTGCTTTTGACGACGCAACGAGATGATGCTGTGTACTTTATATAGATACCACGGGACAGGCATGTCTGAACATTCACTGAATGATAGAATAACGGAGTTCGGAATTTTATAATAAGCTGGTTCACCTAGATGATGCTGTTATAGTACACCGAGACCTGTCCGGATACCTTCGCATACCTTATATCTAGAGAATCTGCGCAGCAGCCAAGCACCCTACGAGGAACAATTAGTCGACTTGAATTGGGCCACGGTCTTGCTGTAGATTCTGATCACATGATGCGTCTGTCCCTGCCCTAGCAGCACTGCAAGCAACCTCGATCCCTGTCCTCAAGAAGACGAACCTCTCTTGGAGTAATGCAATATTCAAGACTGTCCAGCCACTGATGGCCGACTTTCTCAACTGTTGATCACTTGATGCCCTCCAATTCTTCTCTGCATCAAGAAGCCTCGCAATCACGACATCCACTTAGGGTCTTCAAAAGCATGGATGATTTCGCACTTTCCCTAATCCTCCACGGGCAGCCGACTTCAATGCCGGGGACCATTAAATGCGGGGTTGCGGGGGCCTATACTCCTAGTGTGAGGATGTATTTATCCCTAGCTCCTTGATGCAACTGGTCTTGGTCTAAGGGCTAACCATGTGGTGTGTCGCAGGTGTGAAGTAACCAGGAGTTTCTCCGTGCAGGATCTTTGCCAATGCTAGACATCAATAGCATAGTGAAGATCTTTCCCAATAAGGCATCATCTCTGAATTTGAGTTTTAAACACTCGATGAGACCTCTAATCATGTCGTTCCTCAGAAATTAAAGGCCTAGGGGTCCACAACGCCAGTGATGGATTGTGGTATTCGTTTTCTGGTTCTGCTATTGGAGGAATTATCTTCATGCCCGCGCACCACATACGCAGGCCAGTCTACGGAGTATCAGTCCCCAGATTCCTTTCGCGGCCCAGTTCGTCACAATCTGGCTTGGAGACATCAATCTCCTTTTTCAATGGAGTTTGAACGAAGTCGATTTGAACTTTAACAAAGATTCGGTCCGCCGGCCCGCCGGTTGAGTTGACCCCTTCTGTCACTCCACTTTATCCACGATGTCGAACGACCATGGCCATGGGAAGAGTATAGGCTCTACTGAGCCCTTGCAAACAAGTGTGTCCGTCATGCCCTGTCTCCATTCAGGGCCCTGCTGCAGGTAAACAATGCCGAGCCGGTCTTGGATCTTCCGTCACGTCGTTTCACAAGGTGCCCCGGCGTCGAATGTAGATTAGTTTAGTTCCTGTATCGTTCCTTGCAATAATGCGACATCTGAATGTTCCCCATATGCCATCTCGGCTGATGTCCGGCTGAAACCGATGATATATTCTCCACATGTTGTTGTCGCTCGGCTGAGATACATAAATGCGGCTGGCTCCTGGTCGCCTTCTCAGGCCTGGCCTCGAAGTAGATCTAGAAAATAGGCGTTTTGTCAGTTTAGCAGAACCTAGTCATGAAGGGATTGCGCGTTGCTGCCCTTGCGGCACTTCTCAGAAGTGCATGGGCCCAAGCAGGCAATTGCCCAGGAACCTTCACTTCCATAACCGCTGCTGACTTCGTTTCTCGTATCCATCCCGGGTGGAATCTGGGCAATACTCTTGACGCTGTTCCTAACGAGGGCTCCTGGAACAACGCTCCTGTTCAAGCATCTACATTTGATACCGTCAAGTCAGCTGGATTCAAGGGTGTCAGGCTTCCAGGTGAGCCCGATTCGGCGCTACTAACATCTAGTACTGCGAACCTGCTGACAATGTTCAGTTACATGGGCAGACCACTTTACTGGAAGCTCGCCGGGCTGGACTGTTGATCCAGCATGGCTGCAGCGAGTCTCTGACGTTCTGGATATGATTACATCCCGCGGCCTGTATGCAATCGTCAATGTCCACCACGGTGAGATATACTTCTGTGAGGACGTACTCGTTCTCAAGGACTGATTGAGAAATAGACTCGTGGATCTGGGCCGATGTCACTCAATCAGGAGCCAACCTTACGATGATTGAGGAGAAATTCTATCAACTCTGGTATCAGATTGGCACCAAGTTGGGTTGCAAGTCGCACATGGTTGCCTTCGAGGCGATCAATGAGCCACCTGTCAACAATGCTCAGGATGCTGCCGAGATCAACAAACTGAATCAGATCTTCCTTCAGGCTATCAATAAGGCTGGAGGGTTCAACTCCAAGCGGGTTGTCAATCTGGTTGGTGGTGGCGAGGATAGTATCAAGACCTCGGAGTGGTTCAAAGCTCCTACTGGCTTCTCTAACCCTTATGCCATTCAGTTCCACTACTATAGTCCTTGTAAGCGATCCCTTCCCCGAGCCTACTTGGTCGAATCACTAATTGGTACCCAGATGACTTTATTTTCGGCGCATGGTGAGGAGTCTTGTTCAATCCTTCTGCGAATCCAAAGCTGACACGCTTTCAGGGGCAAGACCATCTGGGGCTCGGACTCTGACAAGGCTACCCTTACCAATGATTTCGAGTTGCTTCGAAACAACTTCACCAATGTGCCCATCATCCTCGGAGAGTATGATGCATCTCCGACGAACACTGAGCCAGCCGCACGCTGGAAGTACAGCGACCATCTAGCTCACGTTGCGGCCCAGTACAACTTTGCTACTATTCTCTGGGACAATGGCCTCGACCACCTTGACCGGACAACAGGCCAATGGCGCGACCCAACGTCGATCCAAATCCTCACCAAAACAAAGTCCTCCACCAAGAACAGCCTGCCCGACAGCACCACAGACGCCTCCGCGACAAACCAGTCGTCTTCAGCCTATATCTTCCACCAGGTCGGAACGCCAGTCACGAGCCAGAGCCTCCCCTTCATCCTCAACGGCAATACCCTCCAGTCCATCAAGGATTCCAGCGGTACCACCCTGAAGCAAGGAACAGACTATTCCGTCTCCGGTTCCAACATCGTTTTTGCGGCGTCATACCTCTCCAAGCACATCTCCGCATCTACAAAGCCCGGAATCATCACCAACCTCACCCTCACGTTCTCCTCGGGTGCCTCCTCCGTCGTCCAGCTCGTGCAATGGCAGACGCCAACTCTGGGCTCTAACTCCGCCGCCGCATCGACCGTCTCCGGCGACCTCTCCATCCCCATTACATGGGGCGGCGTCCCTAAGATCGCGGCCGTCAAAGCTCTTACCACTAGTGGTAAATATCTCGTTGATGACTGGACACAGTACCTGGGCCCGTTGCAGCAGGCGAGAACGGTGCGTACTCTTTTGTGCAATTTTGTAGCTAACCGCTGACTCTCTTCTGCGTCTAGACCTACAGCAGCCAGTGGAACTTCAATGCCTCGTATGCCATTTTGACAGCGTCGGCGATTAGTGCTGTGAAATCTGCTGGTCAGACTACGGTGTTTACGTTTGAGTTCTACCCTCGTGTTGGTGGTGGTGCGAATACTGTCAACTTCACCGTGACTGTCTAGATAGAGTCCGTATGGATCCTGGTGTGTCACTTTGTCTAATTCGCATTTATGTGTGGAGGTATGTCGCACAACAAAGGTGCTTCTACTTCTGCTTCTGCTGCCTTGATTCCGTAGTAGACAAGACGAAGAGAAAGTCTAGACTCTCATATTTCATGAATCATTAAGGTACTATCCACCATTAACGTAAGAGCCGTAGTCCGGCAAACAGGATCGTCATCATCAAAGCAAAGTCAGTCAATCAATACAGAACCTTCAGCTCCCAAAGCGGAAGGCTCGGATCATACTTATCCCAAACAATCTTATTTTTCTCGTCCAGATGCGCCCCCTCATCCGTGATCGGAATGGCGGGATGCGTCTCAAGCACCTCCCGATGACTAAAACCCCATTTGTCCCTGGGAATCCACAGCGTCGGCGTGCGCGCCCAAATACACGGCTCGAAGTACGCATTCCGCTCCTCCGCCTCGGAGTACCTGATCTCGACATGGTCTCGGCGCACTTTCCGCCGCAGCGCCGCGTAGTCACTGTACAGGTTCGGGTGGAACCACTTCCAGGCTGCCTCCCAGCGGTTGCGGGGATGCTGCAGGAGGGCCTGCGTCTCCTCTTCTTTCGACTGCTGCTCTTCCTCTTCAGTGTCGAGGGTGCGGGGAAGGAAGGTGTAGAGCGGGGCTAGGGCCTCGTTGAGGGACATGTGTGCTAGCACGGTGAGGATGGTGAAGAGGGCCATGATGATTAGGGGGCCGATGGCGGCGCGGATGGCGAAGAGACCGATCATGCAGATGTCGGCGAGGTAGATGCCTGTTAGGAGATGCTGGAGGGCGCGCGGGTAGACGAGGCCCTTTGTGTCTGTTCCGATGTCGTAGACGAAGAGGAAGTTGTAGCGGTAGGCTTGGTAGACGAGGTAGAGGCCTATGAAGGCGAAGCCGAGGATGAGGGGGGCGATGCAGGAGTATGTTAGGGCTGGAGGGGGATGTGGTTAGTGGTGGGGTGGAAGGGTTGCATGCGTGACATGGGAGAGGGTAGAAACGTACCGATGACTCCCATGTTGGTGAACGCGGGGAACACGTTCCCCCAGCCGATGCCGCTGAGGGCTGCCCAGCGCTGGTAGAGGAGGCGTGGGGAGCGGTCGAAAAAGGTACTCATGAATTTGAATATAATGACGCCGGCGACCTGCACCAGTGCCATCGAGCTCATTGTTAAGCCCTGGAGCAGAAAGTATGATATGTAGAAGTTGGTGGCTTTGGGTAGGTTCTGTGCGAGAAGATCCTTGGCCGACAGAGGGTTCTTGATGATTTGGGCTGTTGCGGCAGACGCTGCCGATGTCAGGGTTGTCACAAGGAAGACTTGTACGACCTGGAAGCAAAAGTGCGCGCTCTGTGTGAAGAGCTCTACATGGGCTGTCGACGGGGCACCTGCTCGTCTGGCGAGGACTGGATAGAATGTTGTCAGCACTGTTCTGTTTCCTGTTGGACTTTAGTCTTGAGGGACATACAACGACAGATGATCGGAACCAATGACATGAGAAGGACCAGAGCTGCGGACGGTAGCAGTCCTGCAATCACTCCTTTCAGTGCTGAAGGCAGCTTGTCAATGAAGCGCAAGAAGGGTAGAAGTTTGGTGAGGTAGGTGATGTTCGAGATCGCCCCAACAGCAGCGGCGGGGATGGACCAGAAGATAACCAAGGCAGCAATTCCACCCTGGACCGCGAATTTGCGCACAATGCGCTGCCACCAGCTGAGATTCAAACTAGACCAGACGACCTCTTTAGGAGAGATACCAATGAAACGAGGCGTCATATGGAGCGGTTGGTGATGGGAGAGCGTCTGTAGGGCGATCTGCGCATCGGACTGGGTGTTGAATTCTATGAACAGCGCAGAAAGATTCTTCATTTCCCCATTCTGGTGCTGTTCCTGAAGGTCCTCTACCTCCTTTGATACCTTCACGAGCTCGTCGCGTAACCATTGGATGGAGTCGACTCTGGGTCCAAACAACTTCACACGGTGACCCGGTCTGCGAATCTTCTTCCGCCAGCTATGCGTCCCGCCTTCGCAGTCCAAACACGTGTCCGAAGTGATCACTCCATTCCTGAATGCCTTAAGACGGGCTGAGTTTGCTGCTCGAATGAAGTTGGTCTCCGCTTTCTCCAACCGATAGGCAAAATTGTCCCGTTTGTTGACTTTCTTCATGAGCTCCTTGCAGTCAGAAGTGATCCAGATCTTTCGGATGGAATCACCAAACACTTGCCGCAGCTTGGGCTCGTTCTTGTAGTCTTCTGGCACGGACATGAACAGCACCGTTCGCGATGATATGCGGCGAACATAGGCAGGGGAATTGAGATATGCTTGGCGCAAATTCGCATAGAAGAGACTCTCCCGAGTGACCACGTAGAAGACATAGGCTGCAGGGTCACAAATTAGTGATTCTGCTTGGAAGAGCCCCCAGAAGCACTTACTGAATAGGACGCATGCCATGATAGCATGTGCATAGTACCGGGTCGGGTCTTTTACATTGCTAAAGCTGAGTGCGTCTAGCTGAGTGTTTCCTGCACCGCCGGTGACGTGTATCGGGATCAGGATTGGCCATGTGATGAGGCAACCAGTAAAACAAGTAGAAGAAAGCACTCTAAGGAATCGCAGAAAGAGGTATCCGTCCATTGAGGACGAATGTAGAACATGCGCATCAGATATCTTGAGAAACTGCCCAAACCAGTTGATGAAGCCCCTTGGCAACTCGGGGCTTCGTTCACTGCACATGCCTCAGTAAGTGGCGCAAACAACGATGCTGTAGGAGCAAAACATACTGTTGGTGCCAACATGGCAAGTGAGATCTTGGGGCATACCAACGCAGTTGCGTACGTCGACATATCAAGAATAGACCGAACCAAAACAAGGCGATGACCAGCGCGGGTAGGAGTGTGGTCACAAGGGCCGAAAGTGAGGTTGAATCACTGACGCCGCTGAGCTTCGCGATGGCGTCGGAAGTCGTCGAGGACGCGTTGCCTCGAGAAGAACCAATGTTAGGGTCATTGTTCGGATCCTACATTCTGAGGGTCAACACAGTGCGTTTCGAGCTCCATCTCGGCATACGTACGAGGAAATTTTGACGTTTTACCAGGGGACCAACCCATACCGGGACGGCGATGGTAGGTACCATGATGAGCCCTCGTGGTCCTGCAATATGACCGCTATACAAACCAATGTCCGGGTGGCTCGATGATCATACGAAAACATTTTAGAATTAGAATAATATAAAGGTACAAGGATGCAATCCCCTACATATACCTTGGGTCCGACCCGCCACTAGGACAAGCGGACTGTATGGCGCGTTAGACCTGTCATTCCTGTCATTCTGCATCTATGGTACACCAGGCAAGGACCCAGTTGCCATTAGTGTTCCGGAGTCAACCTTCGTGGTGACAGAAATGCCGATGGTGGGCCATGCAAAGCCCAGGTGGTCGGGGATGCATTATTTGGAATGTTTACTTTGTAGCTCCAGAGCTTCACGCAGTTTCGAAAGTACAGAGATGATCCGTCGATCAATGCTCAGAAAGTCCGAGGAGGATATTGTTAGCTCGCTACAGTACAATGGCAATTCGCGACGTTGTCAATTTCTTCATGTCGATCCAAGATGTGTATTCGCTCACGAGGCAGTTTGTGTTCCCGTCGCGTGTTGCTCGGTGGAGAGGACCCATGGACGCCCTCCGATTAGTATACAGGCATTAGTGATCCCTGAAAGATCGGTGGCTTCGCACCCAATTGGACAATGAAGTTGCTGGTCAATCTGCCAATACCTAAGACATCGGAGAATGCTCGCGGTCCCTTTTGAACATGACGCCCTTGAGTCTTGATCTCTTTGTTTGAAGAAATAGCTGGTTTTCTGAAGGATGCCGTTCCTGACTTTTCAGCTAGACCACTCCGTAGTACTGTAATATTACCTGAGAGCAGAATTCAATAGTCCCATGTTGGTCCATCGGAAATCTCTGACCAAGCATTCAGACAATTCGCGCTAGGAAAGTTAAGTTCGAGATTCTTATCCCGTGTAACAAACCATGGTGGGATGATTGGCGGGACCAGAAACTAAATCTGCAAGACTATTGATTGACGGTCCCATTCGTAATTGGGTCTCGACTAGGCGGTTTTTCGAGGTAATAAGGCTTTCGAACTGCATACCGCAAGATGAACAAGCATGCAATCGATTTGTTGGAGCCTGGAGAAGCAGTACCTACTCTCATCTCCCACGGTAGACACATTCTCTGATTCGATAAAAATTGGTCGACAGTCGCTGATGTCGACAAATCAATCAAGCAAGGGGGGCGTGCTTGTTCAAGTATGACGCTCAGATCTTCAACGGATGACCTGTTTTCATTCCAATCCGTACTCGATCTCTCGGAGTTGTATTGATTTCTTCTAAGGCAAGAGAAGAGTTAGCTCAGAACTGATGTAAAGAAACCTGGCCTACGTGGTACATGGTCCGCACATCTTCCAGCGACTTGAACTGCATGGTGCATCTAAGAAGTTTTCCTGCTGTCTGATGAGAGATAGTTGATGTATCAACTGTCTTTATCCTGAGTGACGACTGACGAGAACAGAGTCAACTCGTCCATTGTCCTCGCGAGCGGATGATTGGCTATGTGGCATTGGTAGCTTTGGGATCACCTTGTGTGGAAGCGGAGACTGTAGATCTGATCTGAGCGTCGACCACGAAACCTATTAGGGGCACGGGGAAAATGGATCCCAAGACAGATGGGGTCCCCTTGTTTTTCCTAGGCGTGTCGTGGAGATTTTGACCAATTGTGGATGACTTTTGGACAGCCCATGACGAAGCTAAAGAGAAGGCCAAAGGCTCACGGGCTAGATACCCCTGGCATCTTCATGGAAACTCTGGGGAGCCAACGTAGGAGTCAAGATATATAGACTGGTTGATCGCATGATGTACGTTCAATAGCCAGACACGGTGGGCATTGATGAATGGCACTTCCGATCACATTGTTATCGCAAGTCATACTCTTGTGTCTATGTGAATATATGTAGTTCGGTGCGTAGTGAGGTATATCCTCTCAGTATCTGCTGGTCACATCCTCAAGTCGCTCACTGGAAGCTGAAAGATAGCTCTTTTGCGGATTTGAAACCTGCCTTATAATCGAGATATGTAGTCTCAAACATAATGTTCGAACGACATGAATTATTATTACTCTACCTCTCTACGACATGAACATACCATCAACAGTATAGCGATTGAGCGGTGAGAGGCGGCAGTATAGTGATAAGCTGGGAGAGTGTCCATTTGCTCCAAATATTACCACAGCTCAGTTCGCGCAGCATAATTGATAATTAAGCATGCCACCTCCCGAGATTGGCAACGAAAGGAAGTCCCGGTCTATTGGTGACAACCGTGGCTCCGTGCGCGTCGTATCATCAAGAGAATCAAATCAGCCATTTCCGCCTCTCCCTGCGGATGGATTTGCGACAACAATGGACGATGTGCAAAGCAACAGCTACCCAGGGCTAGACGACTCGGACATGCTTTCGCCTACAACCGACGACCTTGCTGAGGAGGAGGAGGATCCAAACTTCCTCTCCAGCTATTCTCTAGACGATCAGTCATTCTCGGATGCCTCGATGGAATCGGATGAGGAAGCTGCCGAGGATGGCATCGCCATGCATCATCCGTTTCGCCAATCTTCGAGTTCCTTGCACGGGCCTAATGCTTTCGCTCCTCCGTTCTATAACAGACCTCCCACACCCCTACCACCGTCCCCTTCGTTGACGTCGCTTCTTCGCCCCCCTTTCTCGACTACTACTTCCCGACCGACTACCCCTGATAGCTCGGATGTGGAAACACCGAATGATACCGAGGCGGCCGTCGCGAAATCTGCCCGTCGTGCAACGACCGTCCCTCGTGCCAGCCCGAAAGTACCGACATATGAGTATTACGGCTTTGTCTTATACCTAGCTTCATCGCTGGCCTTCTGTGAGACGAACCCGATGCGCTGCAAAAAGTGATCACCATTCTGACACGTTCACCAACAGTAATCTATGTACTCTGGTCCTACCTACCGTCCCCATTCCTGCATCAGCTCGGTATTCGCTACTACCCCGATCGGTGGTGGTCGCTCGCTATTCCCGCCTGGCTGGTCATGCTGATCATCTACATCTACGTCGCTCTGGCATTTTATAACACCGGTTACCTGACCCTACCGATGGATAGTATCGAGAATATCGTTGACGAAGTCGCCAATGTAGCTGTCATTGACGGCAAAGGCCGACGACGACCGGGCGGTGCTGCCAAGATGAAACCTGGCGCAACATCGTATCAGATAATGGGACCGCAGAATCGCAAGGTTAACTGGAAAGAGATTTGGTCCGAGGGCACTGATGCCGTTATGGACGTGCCTGTGGGAGGAGTCTGCGAGGTATTGTATGGTCAGGAAAGAGATGATGGTGAATTGAGTGACGGCCCCGCTGGATTTGCAACTGGCACAGCAGAGACGTAGCCAGGCTTCGTTTGCAGACTGTATCTTATCGACACAGCCCATACGCTTATCTGCCAAAGATGGAACCCATGATACGTGCGGCTGTGATCTGTTGAGCCAATCAAAGGCGCCAGCCACAAAATCGCATCACTTATCATCACGTGACGTGGCGCTAGGCTTCCTTCAGACCCGTATCGGCAATCAAGTCAACTCTTGACGATTGACAACCTGTTGGAAATCCGCGGTTGCGTTACTTTCTTTCGATATAAATCACTAATCAGCCGTCATGGAAGCCGAAAGACATTCGACGCCGCCCCCAAAATCGGGCGCTGACAAGCCCGATGAGCTCCAAAGGGGTCCGCTCACTCCCGAACAGCTGCGGAGAATTGTAGGTGACTCGCCGAAAAGCCATCCTCTGAACGTTGAACTAACGATCTATTTGCAGGAGATCAATCGTATGAAAGCCAAGGCGATCCGTGAACAAAGAGAGGCCGAGGAAGCCAAAAAAAGAGCTGCAACACCCAGCAGTTTGAGTAGCACCAGCGGGGTAAAGCGAACATATTCTTCTATGACGGCAGAGACACCTGCGACATTACGAGATGCGTCGGCGAACCGTCCACTCGATGCGATCAAGCCAGCCCGCAATTTCACCAAGTATGTGGAGTATGACTTTAGCAAGATGACCGACACGAAAGGAGGTTTCTTAACTCAGGAGGATGATCCATACAACACGGCGTTGAATGTCCGAGATGGCAAGGAGGAGCAGAAACCTGCGCATATGACGCAGAAAGAATGGGAACGACAGCAACTGCTCAACTCCCTTCGCCGAGACCGAGCAGGGCCGTTCGAACCCGGACTGAGCGTATTAGAGGATAAAAGCAAACAGAAAACGTGCCGGGAATGTGGAAGTCTTGAGATTGACTGGAAGTGGGAGGAGATACTCCGATGTTGTGTATGCCATGCTTGCAAGGAAAAGTACCCGGAGAAGTACAGTCTTCTGACGAAGACGGAAGCAAAGGAAGATTATCTGTTGACCGATCGTGAGTCTATCCCCGAGCGCGTTTCTATCAAAGATGAATCACTGACGCCGCGCGTCTCGCAGCCGAACTCCGCGACGAAGAGCTTTTACCGCACCTGGAGCGACCGAACCCTCATAAGTCGACTTGGAACAACATGATGCTCTATCTACGATACCAAGTTGAGGAATACGCATTCTCTCCAAAGAAATGGGGTTCCCCAGAAGCGCTGGATGCTGAATTTGAACGACGAGAGAACGAGAAGAAGAGGCGGCGGGAGGCCAAATTCAAGACCAAGTTGCAAGATCTCAAGAAGCGCACCAGGGTTGAAGCATACCGACGGAATCGTCAAGGTGCGGCCGGGGGAAATTTTGGCGATGATCTGGGGAAAGGTGGTCGACATGTACATCAATGGGGCCGAGCTGTGGAAGATCCTGAGACGGGAATAGGGGTCAAGAAATGTGTTGACTGTGGCATGGAGATTGAAGAACTGGAATTCTAATGCTCCATCGTACAGCTTCCATCACGATATTAATGATTTACGACGAAGTCAAAATGACATATGGAGCCTTTGCAGAGGTCCGCGGATCGTCACCGTAATGACAGATTTCCAATTTCAACAACCACAGTGTAGTCGATCTGCTGCCACGTTTGTCGCAACATCTCTAACTACGTAGCCAAATGAACACCGCAGCGAATAATGGACCATCTTGACAGATAACTCCATTGAATGTGTCAATTTTAGACGAGGTTGGCAGCCCAAACAACCCCAGCGCCAAAGGCGGTTAGACGGCCGAGTTGTGCGTCTACGGGAGCCAACAAAAGCCCAGTAGCGGCGGTGCGGTGACTTTCCCCGACTTCAGCGAGAACGTAACGCGCGCCAGCTGCCAGTCCAGCCTCGACACCATACAGCGATCATCCTCCTTTTCTCCTTTCGGTGATCCATACCCTTCGTTGTCGGAGTCGTAATAATTATTGCTCCTCCGCCCGGTGCTGACACGGCCTGGAACGTTGTTTCCTGCCGTTGTCGCCCGTTGAGATTGGGGGTTGCTTACATCAACAAACTTGCAGCATTGCGGCCACGAGAGCTCTCCACATTCGGCGTCATTTCTTGTCACAACTGGGCACGCAGAAGCTTAAACAGCTCTGCCACTTTGTCCTTAATTTACTTAAATTCTGTCGCTTGTTGATTTCGCATGGCTTGGCAGTCTCCCTCGGCCATGGCTGGGGGTGGAGGGTACATCGGGGCTGGGGGTGAAGGGTCCTCGAATGGCGGACAACCTCATGGGACGGAGTATACACTGCAAGGTGGGTGCAGGGAGACTCTGGCCTTGGTATTGGTGTTTCTCGAAGCTAACTAGCCCTCCCTCTCCGATAGGTGTGATGCGCTTTCTGCAGACGGAATGGCATCGGCACGAGCGAGATCGCAATGCCTGGGAGATAGAGCGCGCGGAGATGCGGTCCCGGATCGGCAGATTAGAAGGTGATGTACGAACGAGCAAGCGGATGCACGAGTCATTGGGCAAGCATGTGAGGCTGCTCGAGGCTGCTCTGAAGAAAGAGCGTGAGAAGGTGAAGAAGCTGAGCAAAAATGAACCGATCGAGGATACGAGGGACTCCAAGGAGATTGCCCGGGAGAGCATCAACGCATTGAAGTGTACGATACTGACTCGCAAAATCTACGGTGCTGGTGAATTGCTGACTTGTCTGCAGCGCAACGGTCCAAATCCCAGGCCGAACTCACCACCGATATTGACACCGACAACCAACCTGGCGTCCGACAGGAGAACGAACGGGAGAAGTCGCGTCTGTACCTGTCAAAATGCTCGCAAGAGGTTGCATTCCATGTTATCCCCACGTCGCATCCTGCTCCCGACCTGAACGACCTGGAACTCTCGAACCATATGTACGCGAACCACAACATGCCTCAGCAGAGTATAGAGGAAGCCTACATTCAGCAGCAGCGCCAAAAGCAGCAGCAGCAGCAGCAACAGCAGGCAAATCACATGATGGCACGCGAGGTAGCACTACAAAATCACCAGCCCATCGTGACTCATTATTCGGACAATTCCAACTTGTCTCGCGCTCCCAATCAATTCCTCCCCCTTGCGGCGCGAGATATCATGGACAAAAAACAGCTGGAGGCACAGCAGATCCCCGCTACTGCTATTGACAGCAGAAAGCAGGCGTTTGAGTCAGGCTTATCGGATGAGCGCGCCGGTCCTGCGAAGCAACAGTACGATAACACACAGGCAATGGCTAAGGAGGAGGCTCAATCTCAGCTAGCGGAAGATCAATTAAAAGATACAGACGGGTGGAACTTTGATGAAACTCCTGAGCAGGAGTCCCGGACTGCCCACATCCCACCTCACCGACCAGACGTGGATGCCTTTCCCAACGCGAACTTTGCCGGGTCAAAGTCCCCGTCACAGGGTGGATCAGTATCGCATCGAAGGAAGAGCTCTACCTCCAAACGTAAGAGCGAAGGTGCCATTGACGTTGGCGCGGGCGCAATGCAGAAACAGGATCCTATTTTCAAAGTTCGATTCGCTCTCCGCGGCCACCTGGATGTCATCCGCTCAGTAATCTTCACGGGCGGCGGTAGCCCGTCCGAACCCGAGATTTGCACGTGCAGTGATGATGGGACGATCAAAAGATGGATCATACCAGCATCGTACGGGGCCTATGGGTCTCACGGAGGGAACTCCGGCAACGATCTGGATATAACGAGTTACTTCACCCATCGGGGTCATGTCGGAGCAGTAACCGCACTGGCTGCGTGCTCCCCGTCCCAAAATTTCTCAAATGGTGGCCGTGCCCTGGGTGATGGATGGGTATTCTCTGGTGGACAGGATGCCAGCGTGCGTGTTTGGGAACGCGGACGGGTTGATCCCAAGGCCACACTTGACGGTCACACCGATGCTGTGTGGGGCCTTTGCGTGCTCCCTGGCACGGCTGGTACTGTGTTTGGCGATTCATCCAGTCACTACGGAGGACCAGATCGAATCTTGCTGGCGTCGGGCGCTGCCGATGGGCGGATATTGATCTGGGCCGTCAGTGCACCTCCCCAACTATCATCACCACAAGCTGGTTCTAGACGAGCTGGTGGAAGTCGGCGGGCTAACTCGATATCGTCTGGGTCTAATTTCCCATCTTCTCCTCAACCTAGCACCGCAACCACCACGCCTTTCCATTATACTCTCGTCCATCATATCCTTCGGGCCGACTCCCCCTCACCAACTTGTATCAGCCCTCTGTCTCTTGCAGGTGTCAATTTCGTTGTTTCATACACGGATGCTTCGATCCTTGTATATGACACGAGGACCGGCGAGGAGATTGTGGGCATGGCGAGCTTGGAAACCTACGATGGCACTCCCTCGACGGGAGTCAACTCTGTCGCTGCAACCACGATTGGCTTTGATGGGTCTGCGGGCCTTGATCCTAGTCGGACGTTGGCTGATGAAGAAGTTGTGCATGGAGCTACCGGCTCCAGTGCCGTGGAGGGGGTAATCATAAGTGGATACGAAGACAGATATATCCGTCTCTTCGACGCTAATAGCGGTACGTACTCTGCTACTCACGACTGTTTGAATGGAAGCACTGACATTTTCTTGCCCTGTTATAGGCCAATGCACATACACGATGCTGGCCCACCCCGCGGCTATTGCTGCACTTTCCTTATCTCCTGATGGACGTGAGCTAGTGTCCGCGGGGCATGATGCCAGCTTACGGTTCTGGAACCTTGAGAAACGCAGCTGCACCCAAGAGATTACAAGTCACCGGTTGATGCGTGGTGAGGGTGTGTGTGCCGTCACCTGGAGCCGCGACGGCCGCTGGGTCGTCAGTGGTGGAGGAGATGGGGTTGTCAAGGTCTTCTCGAGATAACGACGGATTCTGCTTGTCTATGCATGAAGTCTGATGTTGTCCGCCGACATTCCGTTAAGCTACTCTTCCTGAACGAGCGCTTGGTCAGCATTTGCAATGGTGTCAAATTACCTGGCATTTGTTCCTTTCTAGTCTTGTGGTTATAGCTCCCTTTGGCATTTTCGTTCTTCCGCCATCATACTTGCATGCACGAGCTTTTCTTTCGAATGACCATTTTTTGGCTCCGCCTCCAGGTTGCGGCTGTTCGCCTTTTCTCACTCTTCATGTGGAAGCTTTTGACGATTTGTTATTGATGGTGTTAAATTATCACGACATTCAAACCCGGACAGCTTGCAGCTGGGCTCCGATTCCTGCTCGCCTCCTTTTTCTCCCTACTTGATGTGTGGCCACTTGGCCTCGAGATACCGTGTGAGATGGGTTGGGTTTTGGGAATGATCCTGTCCTGTATCCATTTCTCAATTTCAAATTCTCCCGTCTTCCCGAAAGGCATGCTCAAGTATGCCTTTCGTTTGGCTTCTATGCGTATATGTTTATGTATAACAATTAGTTCCTATACCACTTCCCCAGCTTCTGTACCTTGAACTTGGTGTCAAATTCTAGCACATTGAATAGACTTGATTTCTGTATTGACCTCATGCCCCATGCAGCGCATGGACTACAAGCCAACGTTGATAGTATGCTTTCATCCACAGCACTGTCACACATCTAATCTCAATCCGGAGCCAGTCGCACCCAGGAGAAGCACAGAACAGATCAAGAAAGGTATCATTTAAAACGGCTATCTACAGCAACACCGAAATTCCTAGAGACTCGACCTCCAAGCATCCTTGAAGAGCACCCTCAACTTATTCGCCTCATCGTAGTCCTTCAATCTCTGCTCCAAGAAGCCCTGTAAATCATCCCAGAAAGCCTCCGTCGCCACAACACTCTCCCCACTAGGCCCAACAGCAGGCTTGGGAGGCTCATAACTCTCCGTCTGCTCAGCACCTGCCTCTTCACCCGCACCCGCACTCGCAGTCGGAGCAACCTGCGCCCCGCCCATGATCATAACGCCGAACTCGACCTCCTTCCCGCCAGATAGCATCTCCGGCTCATCGGCAAGCGCCTCCGCGATGGTCTTCCCCGCCACCGGTTTGCGCTTGTACAGGATCTTGATCTTGTCGAGGGAGACCTTGTTGCCCTGGGCGTCTGTCACGCGCTCGCGGACGGCGTCCTTGAGATCCTGCACGGAGGTCGTGGCGAGGGCGGTGTTGGGGAGGGAGAATTCGAGGGCCGGGTTGCGGGCTGATTTGAGGTGCACTGTTATGGATTTCGAGGAGCCTGGGGCGAGCGGTTGCTTGGTCTTCTTGGGCATTTCTGGGTGGGGTGCTTGCAGGCGGGGGAGCGTATACTGTGCCGGTTAGTATATGGCCATAGTGTATGGATAAGACATGTGGGATATGAGGCGGACGTACTGGGACACGCAGTCCGACTTGCTCTGGGTCGAAGACATGGTCGGAGCGGAGCTTGATGGGTCGAGAGTCGAGCGCGGAGAGGAACGTCTTGACGAATGATACTTCGTTCATGGTGATAATGCTGTGGCCCCGGAGGGATTGGAATTGAAGAGGTGTTGCTTCC